GCGGCAAGAATGGCAGCGAGCTGTCTTCCGGAAGTGATGACTGGGATTGAGCAAGCACTTGGATCTGTCGAGTTGCGTGGAGTGTCGGACATGCATGACGGCTCGATTGACCACTTGTTCCAAATCGGAACGCTGATTGCAGCCGCTCAAGGAATGAAGGCCAATGAAGGCTATAGATGGGACATGTGGGAAGTGAATGAATCTGAGCTGAAGTTGATTCGGCATGTTCGAGTGTGGCGCAATGAAATGTTGGATCCAAGGATCAAACTGGCGAACAAGTCGAATGCCAATCACTGGTCCATGGTGGAGACTGACTGGGGAGCGAGTGACGTGCAAGAAATACAAGGACAGCTCGACTGTTACTTTCAGGGATGAGAATTTCTTGACACTGAGGAATACAAGGCCGAGAGATCCCAAGGAATGGCGTCGCCCAGGTCGCCAGTGCACTGCAGCCCGGCGCAGAGATTGTCTTCCGCATGATTTCCAAGGGCATGAATTGAAGCAGCTGGGTGAGCTCAGAATGAATTTAGGAGTGCTACAGCAATGCCGCATGTTTTGCAATGTGAAGTCTCTGCTGGAATGTTGAAGGACATTTCCTGGGGATTGCAGAATCCAATGACGCATGGATCAGTGCCCGACTGCCTGCGAATGCTTTGTGCAGTACAACAAGCCTCCCCTTCTGCAATGACTCGAATGTCGACCAATGGCTCTTGATCGCTTCGCGAATGCTGGTATGTACCGTTAACTGTTTGAATGATCCTGGACTGGAAGTCAGGATCAAGGGACTGTAAATGACATGAGCCATTGAATGTTCACGACGCATTCATGAATGCTACGATGCCGAATGGCTTTGGTCCAAGACTGGACAGAGACTGGCTTGGGAACGTGAGCGCTCTCGGTAGGTTGTGATTGTTTGGCTTGTAGATTTGACTTCTGCACCCTCCTTCCTCTCTTCTTCTTGCTTCTTGGCCCTCTTGGCTCTGGTTTCGGAGACGGCTCCGACGAGGAGCAGCATGGAGGTCAGTCGAAGTGGGCAGGCCGTCGAGCGCCGAAGCTCAGACTGTTCTCTTTCCCGCCAGGCGAGAGCTCGCGAGCTCGGCGTTGCTCGTTGCTCTGGGCTCGTCGCTGAGGTACGCGGAGAAGTATTGGGACTACATGGAGAAGTATCCCCTCAGGAGCCTCAGAAGTCCTGCGCTCGCCGATCGCCGCAGTGGGCTGCGGATGCGCGGAGGTGCCCCGTGGACGGCACGGGTTCCAAGAAGTTCGGCGAGGAATGCTCCATCGAGGTCATGAAAGAGGCGCCGAGCGGCCGAGCGCAGAGCCATGGTCCGCCCCCTCTTCTCCTTTTCCTCCTCCTTTTCCTTTTGCTCTTGGGCAGCTCGGGATCAACGCTGACGAGATCGTCCAGTGTGCGATGACCTCCAAAGTGGAGCAAAGCCCGGCTCGTGTTGCTGCAGTGCTGCTGCTTTGGGCCAATTGGGCCCTCTCACTCTCTCGCTCTGCCAGGAAGCTGAGACAGCAGCTGAAAGACACGGCCAAGACACCCAGAACAGGAGGCTCCCAGGCTTCCAGGCCACACGAGGCTGCAAGGTCCTCGAAGCCCAAGGCTGCAAGGCCGTTGAAAGAGGAGTGGTGGGGATACGATGTAGAGGGAGTCACCTCCGAAGGACTCGGGCGTAACTGAAGAAGCGGGAGAGCGCAGAACCAGGTCTGGAATGTTGCATTCTGCTGAGACGAAGGGAGAGTGCAAAAGACTAGGACAGCCTCAACGCTCCACAACTCTTTTTTTGAGCCCTCTCTTTCCCGTCCTTATCTGCTTCGCTGAGGCCTGGTCGGACCAGGCGGGAAGAGGGGAAGATGAGGATTGTGTTCGCGTTGTTCTTTGCGGTCCGACGCTGTCCGGGACCTGAGGCGATCCGAGTCAACGGCTGGCGCTTCAAAGGCATCGTCACGGCGGATCTCGTCGTCCGTGCAATCTGCTCTGGATTTATCCACCAGCGGCTTTGCCAAAGAGTTTCTTTCTTTGCTCTTTAAGTTCCTACCAGAAGCTCCGAGGCCATCTGAGTGCAGCAAGCTGGTAGAGAAGCGAGACGTCTTCGTGCCGTACGTCGTGCCGGTCAGCGCCGGAAACCTGGCTATCGGCTGAAGCTCTGAAACATCGCAACCTTCTTCTTCTTGCGAGAAGAGCCGAGGGCGGCGTGAGCTTCGGGGAACTCTTGGCCTGGCTGTTGGCCACCGTCGCCCTGGGCTTCGCGCGAAGCCCGGCGTGCAGATGCACTTGCGAGGGATGCACTTGGAGCTTTTTGCGAGGTCTGCATGCTGATGTACAAGCTGGCTGCCCGGTTCCAAAAGGCTGTGGCCCGCTCTTCTACAACCTCTCTCCTCAGGCGTTACCTCAAGAAGGAGATGCGCAGCACCCTCCGGGAGGAGGAGGGACTCTCTCTCTCTCTCTCTCTCTCTCTCTCTCTCTCGTTTTTTTTTTTTTTTTTTTTT